GGGGGGATGGCCACACCACAATCCCTTCTCCTTCATTCATGCATGCACATGCTCCTGGTGTGATTTTTTTCAAACTGCAGGGTCTGGGACTTGACCCATGGTTGGCCATATGGGAATACAGTGCCTTAACTACCATGCCGTCTGCAGGCCCCACCAAGCAAAAGTTTCCTAACCTGTTGCAGAAACAAAATATCACTCCACAAGTGAAATAAATTCTGTATCCATAACTTAAGTAATAAATCTACATCTATAGTTTGCTTGGCATAAATTAGAATCTCAACTAGCCAAGAAAACAGTGATTACACTTAAATAAAATTAACCCACACCTTACAAAATACTAATATTCACAGAAGACATTTTAGTGTATGGTGTACACAAGGTGAAAGGGTATATATACCATCCCTCTCTCTTCACACACTGTGACTCCAGAGAAGTGTCTGAACTGACCTGAACCTTTGCCTAAAAATACATCTACTTACCTTGAAAATAAAACAATTCATGTTACTATGAGGCACTCTTCTGTAGTACTTGAATAGATAATAAGGCAAGAATTATAGACCTGATCCCTTGGCTCCAAGGCTATGCCACTTCTTTTGTAATTTAAAGATGCTGTTACACGGCTGGCAGGTGGCATGGGGTTGGGATGCTGGACTACCACATTGCCAACTGTGGTTCAGGTCCTGGATCTGGTGGTTTGCTTCTCACTCTCTCTCTCCCTCCGTCCCTCTCTGGTGAGCACACATGCCCAATAGCAAATTAAAATAATAATAACAAGAGTAAATAAAATAATTCTTTAAGAAAAAAGATGCTATCACTAATGTCCCAGCACTCTGTGTGGTTGTGACTAAGATAGCCAACACGAGAGGCCCATTTCATGCCCTGTCTCATGCCTTTCCTCTGTAATTGCAATGTACTATTTTCAAGCTTACTTAGAGGTTTAAATATAATGATTCTCTTTAATGATTATCTTTAAATTTAATGATTATCTTAGAGGTTTAAATTTTACTTTGTGAGTTCAAAGAATTTCCCACATCAAGACTGTATGCTCTCAGTAGCATCCTTAAGTCTGGCAAACAGATTCAAAGATTCCCTTCAGGGATAGGACAGTGTCTTATCCAAAACTTAAACAAGTGACTACAAGAAAAGTTTGTGGAAAATCAGTATCCAACCTACAATCACAGTGCAGTTGAATATGAGAGGATGAAACAAACAAAAAAATGGTTAAGGGCTTATTATTTATTTATTAAAAGTTTTTGCCATAGGGCATGTGCACTTGCTGGAGACAGAAAGAGACAGAGGGGGAACGTGAAAAAAAAAACACTGCCCAGAGGGTATGGCTATGCCACAATCCCTTTTCCTCTCAGGATTTTGGGCATACATACATGTGTATGATTTTCTTTCTTTTTTTTTTTAATTATTAAACTTTATTTATTCATTTGCTTTATTTTAATTTGACCAGAGAGAGACACACAGAGAGAGAGAGAGAAAGAGGGAAAGTGAGAAAGCAAGCCACCAGGTCCAGGACTCAAACCATGGTCAGCCATGTGGGAATGTCCAGCACACCTCAATCACCACGCCACCTGCCGGTCCCCCATGTGTATGATTTTCAATGTGCCAATCTGGAACTTGAACTGCAGTTGGCCACGTGAGAGTTCCAACACCTTAACCACCATGCCACCTGCTGGCGTTGATCAAAGGCATTTTTTTTACTAAATTAATTCTTTATGGGAACTCATTCCTCAATGCCCTCGGCACCCTAGCACATTCTTTTTTTTTTGGAGAGATTTTCACTGTAGGGCGCGTGCGCTCGCCAGACAGACAGAGAGAGACATAGAGACAGAAAGCGAGAAATCACCCCCCAGGGGGGATGGTCACGCCGCAATCCCTTCTCCTCCATTCTCCTCTCGGGATCTTGGGCACGCACGCACACGCGCCCGGTGTGAGTTTTAAGCCACCGGGTCCGGGACACAAACCGCGGTCGACTACGTGGGAGTCCAGTGACATAGCCATTACGCTAACTGCTGGTTCCCCCTAGCACATTCTTCTGACAGCAATCCTACCCCATATTCCGGCCTTCCTGGTGGCAGGCGATGGCACATCAGTAGCAGTCTGTATATCCTGAAAGTAGGCAGACAGTGGACCATTTGCCAACAGAATCAGTAGTTCTCTTGAGCGGGAGCAGTAATCATATCTCAGACTGCAACACCCAGAGAATTTCACTCACAACACTAAAGGCGTTCTTCCGGGAGTGGCACAGCCACCTTCGGGCTTTGCTAGTCTGCAAAGTCAATGAACTACGCTCCCCCCCACAGTGCCACAGGGCGCGAGCCCACAGGACCCCACCGCCATTATGGCTAACTGCTTATGACAGCCACTTCTTGGTTTGGCACTTTCATGTGCCATCCGGATTTCTCAAACCACAAAAATCTGTCTCTTGCTATACTTCCACAGTTTGCTACCAATTAATTTAATAAGAAAGGCCATTTAAGGACCTTATCTGTGCTTATCTCAAATACATATGAAAACATGGAAAGAAACTTCATCCAAAAAGTTCTGTTTGCTCAGACTTTTTGTGGATCTCTATAGATTCTTTTATTATATATATATATATTATATATATATTATATGTATATATAATATATGATAAATTATTATATATATAATAATAATTTAAAGATACTTTCATAATATATGTTGCTGTTCGACAACCCAAAGATTCTTAGAGTCCAACAACTTCAATATGCTGGCAATTAATTTATTTTTTTAATTCATGATAGAGCACGTGCATAAGAGAGTGAGAGCCAGAGGGAAATTAAGAGAAAGAAGCACCCATTATAGGGCTCAGTCACACTGGGCTTCCTCCTATCCATCAGGATTCTGGGCTCACAAGCGCATGCCTGGCATGTCTTCAGGCCGACCTGTACTGGCAATTTAACAAGAGCCTTAGAGTGTGGACTCTGGGTCAGTCTGGGTTGGAATCTAAGCCCTACCTCCTCCTGGATCTTAGTTTCCTCATTTGTAAAACAGAGACAACACTACACACCTCATGTTTGGTATGACAGGAAAGGATGGAATGAGAGCATAGATGGGGATGTTTCCCTTGGCAATGAAGTAAAGGACGGGTTAGAAGAATCAAAGAAGAGAAGATGAAGACAGTTAAGCTCATATAATAAGGCTTCCATCATTAAAAATGGAACACGGACTTTCTGGAAAGTTGATAAACAAACAGGACTTGGATCTTTCACTATACCAGAATTTTTTATGGATACAATTCTGTACCCAGACAACCTGGTCAACATATTTCTACTTCTTGTAAAAGACTGGTCAGTGTTCCAAACAATTTATTTGCCCCTTTGGAGATTAGTTGTCTCCTATATGTCAAAGTGCCAAGTTCTTCCTTTATTTTTATCAAATGATAAGTAGTGATATCTAATGTCAGCAATATTACTGAGTAACTATTATGCATTAGACCCTTCAGGGGAGACAATAACAAGACATGGTCTTTGCACTCAAAGAGCATTAACAGCACACTACACTAAAATCACTGCCTTTTAGGTCGGAATTCTAGGAACCCTTCTTTTGACAAGTTTTATCCAGTCCAAGGATAATTCCTCTACTCCACCCTTCATGAGTCTCCCAGAGCCCACAATAATAAACAGTGTGACATGCATCATCAAAACAATATTCAGCAAGCCTAGTCAATATACCTGCTGACAGAATTAGAAGAATTATACAAAGTAGGCCTCATAGTTGGTCATACAGATAATGTGCCCAACCCTTCCTCTCATTCATTATGTGATCTTAGAAAACGATCTGAGAATGGGACCAGCAGATGGCATAATGTTTATGTCGCTGGACTCCCACGTAGTCAACTTGTGGTTCAAGTCCTGGACCCAGTGGCTTTAAAACTCATGCCAGGCATGTGTGCATGCATGCCCAAAATCCTGAGAGGAGGATGGGAAGAAGGGATTGCAGCAAGGCCAACCCCCCCCTGGGAAGTGATTCTTCGTTTTCTGTCTCTCTGTCTCTCTGGCGAGCATACATACACTATAGCAAAAATCTCTCTTAAAAAAAAGGAAGAAAAGAAAGAAAGAAAAGGAAAAAAGTTATCCTTTTTTTCCTTTTATAAAAAGGAATGCCATCTATGACATTCTCTGGAAGTCTAGACTCCTTGGGTTTAATCCCCAAAGAAGCAACTTGTGATGGTTGATTTTAACTGTCGACTTGATGTGCCATGAGATACGCAGATATCTGATTACACATTTTCTCTAGCTGTGTCAGTGAGGTGTTTCTAGATGAGATTAGTACTTGAATGGTGGACGGAGTAAAGGAGATGACCTCTCCCAACATGGGTGGGCCTCACCCAAACCACTGAGGACCTAAATAGAACAAAAAGGTGGAGAAAGCTGGATTCAGATGAATTTTCTGCCTAACTTCTTGCATTTGGACACTGGTCTTCTCAGGGCTTCAAATTTGAACTGGAATATACACTACTGGCTCTCTCTTGCTCAGTCCTGTGACCTTCAACATCAGACCTCCTGGTTCTCGAGCTTGTAGATGATGGATAACGGACTTCTCAGCCTGTGGAACTGTTGAGCCAGTATCTTATAATAATAACTCTCTTGGGACCAGCAGTTAATGTAATGGCTATGTCGCTGGACTCCCATGTAGTTGACCGCGGTTTGCGTCCCAGACCCGGTGGCTTAAAACTCACACCGGGCGCGTGTGCGTGGGTGCCCAAGATTCCGAGAGG